ACGAGTAACGTCGAAAGGTAAGTGAAATGGTGGATTGTAACTCTCGCTGTACATCGTCCGGTGGGAGTCACAAGATGACCTCCCGCTGTACGAATCAAAGGGCCGTCCCAGGGAGTCGTCACTTTTTTAGAGCTCTTGCAAGCTGTCTGCTGATAACGGAGTAGTCACGCCCGTGTCGACGAGAGCGGTTATGTCGCGTCCGTCGAGAGATACGTTTAGGTCGGCAGAGGTCGTCAGGGCGTCGTTAGGATGTCGCGACGTCGAATCGCGGCTGCGTCGGTGCTGGTTGGGAGGATGTTCGCGACCGCGCTGTACAGCAACCCCACCTCCAGGGGTTGCTCCCCTCTGTTTCCCCTACCGGGGCTGGGCGACCTGCGTCTCGTGGCTTCTGAAGAGGGACGGTGTTGTGGCGAAACAGGTCGAATAGGCGATGGAGACCGTAAGAAGCGCCGGGATCCTCGCCCAGGCTCAGCTAAATAGTGTTGGATTTCTTATGGTCGCTCTCCAACCCCGGGGCGTGGGGCGTCGCTAAAGAAACCTCGAAGTCCAAATCGGCATATGGGCAGAAGCGGTATACGTGACCGGCTTCTCCACAGCGAAAGCAGAGAGGGCGGTGATCAGTCGTGCGCCAGATTTCGCTCTTCGGCGTGCCATGGCGTCGTAGGGTGGGAGGGAAAGTGTTTGTGGGAGGCGGATAGTGATCTGGTAATGGTTCCTATTGAGGGTTCGGGAGGTGGGCAGGTCTACGAGCAGCGGCAGCACACGTCAGAGCCCGTGGTCGTTGTGCTTCTGGTGAAATATCCATTGAGCTCAACGCCTGCTGCAGTTCTTCTCGTATTACCTCGGACAATGATGAGACTTGAGGTTGCTGCGTCGTTGGAAATAGCTTCTGCAGCTCTTCGCGCACGACGATTCGAACGGTGTAACGCAACTTCTGGGCGTCAACTCCACGGGGTTCGGCGTAGGTGGCGGAAATCGCTGGTACTGGTCGATCGTACTGCCTCGTTCGCGTGCCAAGGGTCTGTTCAATGCTTGAGGCCTCACCGACGAACTCCGCAATAGTCTTTTGGAGGGTTGCGTACCAGTCCGGCGAAGAGATGTTCTTTCACTCCCCTCATAAGGATACGGAGCTTTTTGTCTTCGGCCATGTCGGGGTCGGCGCGCCGGAACTAACGCTTCATTTCTTCAACAAAGACCACCACAGTCTCGTTGGGGTACTGAAGACGTGTTTGAAACAGGAGCTCGGCTCGCTTTTTCGTAGGACCGTGGCAAATGCTTGCACAAAGCAAGCCGTGAACGAGTCCCACGCTATCAGTAGGTGTTCATAGTTCTCAAACCACGTCCTTGCCGAGTCTTCTAGCGCGAAGAACCCATGGTTGAGTTTTTGTTCAGCACTCCACCTGTTAAAGGCAGCCACCCGCTCGAACTGTTCCAGCCCGTCGTCGGCATCTTTTTGCGGGAACCCGTGAAAAGAAGGGGGGGGGGGGGGGGGTTTCCGTGGTCGTTGGAACACGACCGGCGATGGTAGTGCACGTTCTTTCCGGTTGTTGTCCATTGTTGTTTTTCTCGTCCTCTTCACTGAAAGAAATCCGCACTCCGGGGACAGACCTTGGCGGTGACGTCTTCTACAGTGCACGGGGGTGACGTCAATGGGGCTTGGTCGGCGAGGACTGTTATCTCAGCTGCTAAGAGGAGTCCGGGCATACGTCGCACCCCGCGCCTCCACCAGATGTCACGTAGGCGAAGGAGACGTTGGCAGTGGTAGGACCTAACAAGGGTTTAATGAGCGGAGTGCAAAGCAGGGTCAAAGGAAAAGGACGAAGGGCCGGTCAGGTTGATCTGCTTGCAGTTCTTCGAGATTGCGCGGGCCACGAGAGAGCGCCAGGCGCGAGCCCTGTGCACAACCGAAAAAGACCGAGGCGCGCTGCCATGCGCGAACAATCGAGGCGTTTGTTAACTGTTGCAATATAATAAACACCAGTCATTTTCAAGTCTCAACTGAGCTCTCTTTAAAACAATCTAAGTGAAGCTCTTGAAAAAGGCATAGATTCCTATAAACAGAATCGAAATCAGCTCGAGCATAATAAAAAAACTCGCTTAGCTTCCTTTGACCTAAAGTATATATATATATATATATATATATATATACGCAATAAACAATGATCTTTAAGAGCTTGCAAGTTAGTGAATAAGGAGATGAGCTCAGGCAATAATATTGTTAAGATAAGGTCTAAAACAGAAGAGTTCCAAGCAGCAATACGCGTAGGTTGGGTAACCATTTGTGAGAAATTGAGTAAATACACAGAACAATTAAAAAAATAAGTCAAAGCAAAAAAGGAAGATAAACAACAGTTCATTCCTTTGGTAAGAAAATTCTATAAAGTCAGTAAGCATTAGTCGTGTCATAAACAAAAACAAAACCGAAACGAAGTACAATCATATATATCTCCGACAAGTCAACAACAGCAGATGCAGATGATATTAAATAAAAACATATTTCTTAGAAATTTACTACATATAGAATCATGTTCTTGGTGCAATTAACTATTCATATGAAAGTACAATTTTATTGTCGACCTTCTGAAATCAATTTTCAAACTAGAGATCGTTTTATTAAAGTCAGTGTCCGACTCTTTTATGTATTGAGTTTCAGTTGATTAAAAAGCTAAAGTTTGTGGGGCATAGTTGGTTCTTAATGCCGGAATCGTTCCCTTTGAGTTTTTAATTGGGCTTGGACTCAGGAGGTCCATTGATTTGGCGTACAGACTATTTGTATGTATTCATTGTAAAGGTTTGAAGTAGAATACTTGGTCTGTCTTAAAGGGAAACGGAAACGGTTCTGTATTTGAGAAAAAAAAACTGAAATCGTCTTTATTTGCCTCCAGGATTACGAATACCAAACTTATTTTTCAGATGCATGCATTAAGTATCTACAGGGTCCGATCGAGAAAAGTAAACCCCACTTTTCGGCCCGCGTAAAAAACTACGCATCGCAGAACGCTCAATCTCTGCCAGAGTGTAACCCTAGCGGTCCAAGCAAGGTTCCAAAGTTTCAGCCCGATCCGATAACTTAATCAAAAGTTATAAGTGATTTTCTGAAATTTTCAATGGGAAAATGGAGCCCATTTTTGCCCGTGTGCAGCTTCTGGTGTCATAGAGCCCCATGTGTTCGAAAACTCCGTCGGCGGCCATTTTCCCATTTGAAATGTTCAGAAAATCACTTACAACTTTCGATTAAGTTATCAGATCGGGCTGAAACTTTGGCGTCTTGCTTGGACCGCTAGGGTTACATTCTGGCGGAGTTTGAGCGTTCTCCGATGAGTTGTTTTTTTAAGCGGGCCGAAAAATAGGGTTTACTTTTCTTGATCGGACCCTATACAACAGAACTTTCAAAATAGCGCTGAAACCCCTTCTTCCCGTCGCGTTCGGTGTGAGGATGGTTTCATGGCGTACATATACAGGGATCTCAACATTTATGCACTTTCCGCAAGCCTTACTCGAGCACTCAGAAGTACTGCATCTGTTCCCTCACGAGCGGCACGCGCAGGGACAGCTGAGACCTCTGGGTTTGATACCAGAACCAGCAGTTGGTGTTTAAGTTTTCTCCCGTCCATTTATATGTTCGGGTTAAACGCATGCGATATTCAAATTCACAGGACAAACATTTGCTACAATTAACCTCTCAGTCATTTTTTTTTCTCAAAAACTTCCTCAGCTCTCATTTAAGCATATTATATCCGATGAAGAGTGGCTCGGCCCTTAAATTTCTGGTATACCTTTATAATGTTTACAGATCCGGTAGATTTACTTTTCCAAGATGATACGTTTATTAAAAAGAAGAATCCGTGCATAGACTTTCCTGCAACGCGAGTCAGGAATTGATCACTGATATTTGTACAAGGAATCTAAAAAAAACAGCATTCGCCACCGCAAAGTACTTCTGTGCCGAAATTTTGAGAATGCGTACGTCATGCTCAGTGTCGGGGCGCAGGTCACGTTTGTTATTTACGCTTTAGGAGCCATTTATGTAGTGAATCCTACTAATTGGTCAGTGCAGGCTTCAAAGTACATGCTCGCACTACGTTCATAGTAGACCTACATACCGGTATAGTATACGGTATAATGTATGATGCTGCAAGCTCGATAGTCTAATTTAAACTAACTTCTCTCACTCAAAGTTCGGATATAGGTGCATTTAAGTGTATTTTATATCCCCGCAAAATGGATTGCAAAATACACAAACACAAATGTCCACACATTGAAAATTTGTATTAGATGTCTGACACAGTATGATTTAAAAAAATATACAAATGTATGTTTGGTCATTCTGCTTAGCGCGATTAAATGGGATAGCTATAGGGTGGATGATGCTCTTTGTTAAGGTGGTGCCTAGGGCAGAATTACGCTTAGTCTTTCAGTGTCCCAAGTCAATAGTGCCTAGGGCAGGGTTTAGTTTGGAAACAAACTACGTAAAACCATTTCTCTTTGTGACGCTGCGCGCATTTCCCTTCAGCACCACCCAGGTACAAAGCCTTTGCGCTGAATTTTCTGGGTCAGCAAGAAAGGGAAAGCGGGCTTTCCTGCTTTTCCCACTCCCCCTCGTTCCGCGATCTCTTTCTACACCAGCTGGTTTTGCTCATCTCATTCTTGCCCATGCCACCCCTTCCGCTTCGCGCGCTTTCACGCACCACTTGGTTGTGCTCCTCCCGTTCCTGCGTGCTGGGTTCGTAGCTTAGACAGCAGCGCATCGGCTTCCTCGCCGGTGACTACGGTTCAAACCCTGACGCCAAAACGCCAATTGCCGCTTTCATTTTTTTTTTCAGGATTGCTTAGAGGTGACAGATTGACCGACCTACACATCTCGTGCTTACACTACTCCTGGGGTTGGTTGGCCCTGTTAAGCTCCCGCTTCAAAATAAACGGGGAAGAAGAGCACATTGCCAATAACATGTAGAAAATATGATCGGAGTCACGCATGGGCAAACCTAGCGTTTACTTACGTGCCGCTGTTTAATATCCCGAAGTAGTCCACCCATTGGGAACCGGTGACTGCAAGCCTCGTGGCAACCATGCCTCTAACCCAGGTGAGGGGACCGCTGTCCGGTTTCACCAAGTTCCAGAGGTTGTCATTGTTGTTCGGTATTGAGGTCTCCGTGATTGCCTGGAAAAACAGAACATGATTTCAGATGTCACCAAGTAAGATATTGGGTTATAAAACGTTACTTGCGAATATTTCATTGGCGATAAAAAATTGTAAAAATTGTAGTAACTGACACGGTGAGTACTCGAGTTTGAGCTCGCAAGTCCAGCCAAAGCACGGTCGAAAGCATGAAACATGTTCCGGATGACGGGAGTTCAATGTACTCGCCCTGCCGTCTTTATTCTGCCAGTACAAGTGGCTTTGCACCACGCGATAGATATATAACAATTCTACTGAAAAAGTGACAAATTAAATATCGTGTTTAGAGGCAAGTAAACCTAAGATTATAAGATTAAAATTAAAAAAAAATATCAAACGCCGCGAGCACTAATTATTAGATTAAGTGAAATATTAACTTTGAACTTGGCAATTTGTACCTTAAATAGATACAAGGTTATTTTGTAACTGATTCGGGAAACCCTGCTTCAGTTACGTTGGCATGGAGCACCCGATTAGCGTGTCATTTTCATTCGCACACTAAACTTAGCCAATGCGCGTGAAGGGTTCGTGTGGCACTTCCCACGTCATAAAATGTTACCACATGAGCGACGAACAATAAATACATTCCGGCTTTTTAGAAAACGTAAACTGTTCCTCGGAACCCTACTTACCAGGCCAGATGAGGCGAGGTAAAAATCGTCGAGAGAAACCAACTTCCCTGGGTATGAAGACATGCTGATGGTGTGACCAGGAATGGTTTTACCTGAAGAAAAAATAAATATCCTCTTATGACGAATGTCTACCGAAAGATTCAACTCCCTCCTGAAGACGATAACAAGGACGGAGGAAACACTTACTCCGCAAGCCAAAAACAACCTAATTCGTTAATTACGAATACTAGCAGCTGTGTTTTACGGTACACTTGAAAATATTATAATTACAAGATGCGTTAGAGTAAAACATGCGTTGGACGTTTTTCATATCAGACAACATACTGCCTCCTGAGGTCGGAACGATTGGTGAACGTCGTGTATCCAGAAGGTTGTTAATATTTTCAGCCTTGGCCACCTCAAATAAATAAGTTTTTTTTTTTTTTCACGCTCCTTAAGCCCCACAATATTTTAGAAGCAAATATTTCGACGCGTGTTGAGGAGCTAGGGGCTCACTTTTTACGAGGATTGTATTTCGAGAAATACGTATATTTAAAATCACTTCCAGTCTGAGGCCATCAGAATGTATTTTGTTCTTTGTCAAATGATGGAATTAAGAAGAATTGTGACGCTGATCGAAAATCCAACTTATTGAGGCGTGTCTTACTGACATACGTCAATGGTCTTATGCTGCCGTGCCGCCTTTTTAAGAATGAATGCAGCAATTTATGTGGAAGCCAACGCCATGGAAGAGCTGAATCTAGAGCACCTCGCCGAGAAAACAGTTTCACGACCATGGAACGAGTTACTCTGGTTGGGTGTCAAGGCAAATTACTCGTATAACAACTTAGAAACTTGCATATTTAATCCGGTCTTCAGTTCTTACGCTATACAAATTCACTTTCACCCCAAATAGTACCCTCAGAGCGATTGTTGTATTTTTCTGAAATCTTTCCGTCGTAGTAATATTTCCTAAATGCATTATTACTAGAACATCTATATTTCAACCGAAATCCAGTTACTTATATCACTCACTTTGAGTGACGTTTCTGGCTGTACAACGCTAGAGCGCACGACACTAGAGCGCCGCGACGTTAGGGCGCGCGACTCGAGAGCTCAGCGACATTGGGGAGTTTTCGTAGACCGCGTTTACCCCTCCACTAAGCCCTCCGCAACGAAGGTCACGTGACCTCTGGGGTGACCTTGGGGGGTCACGTGACCTTAGGGTGACCTTGGGGTGACCTTAGGGGGTCACGTGACCTCGCGGTTACGCCGACGGCGACGGCGACGCCGACGCCGCTCAAGCCGGAAACGGGCGCCTAAGAGCTTCGCTCTAAAAAATTGCAGCTGACCTAGCCTCATTAGTTCTTTGATTTTGTATATCGCAGGTATGCAGGGGAGGTTTTCATGTATCCGTCAAAAGACTGGAAAGATCTGCATCTGATAAAGTTGCGCTGAGCTTTCCTTCGATGAGTGTTTTACTGACACTTTTAGCGGTGAACTTTCTTCATTGCGGACATGAACGTCAGAATACCATTTATACTTATGAGAGGGACGTTCAAATAGCCACCAAATACATTGGATCCCAAATGCCTGTCAAGAATAGACCAAATATAGCAAAAGCAGTATATCCGAGAGGTGCACCGCAGCATGAAGAAATCTTAGACTGGTTGCTCCACTCAACTGCTAACATCCCCGGTACCTATATGCCCCAGCCCACTCTCTTGCCAACTTTTCTCTCCGATGTCAATAAACAATTGGTTAGAAAGAGTCGTATCCGTTTTATTATTTTTTTTTATTAAAGGCATATTCAATCAATCAAAAATCACCAATGCTTCAATGCGATGAATCGCAAAATTTTGTTCTGTCTGTGGAGCCGCGGGTACATCACACATTTTGCGGTGTTCACTCATAATGGGGTGCGCTCTCGTGTGGCGCGCTCAACCGGTCGTGCGCTCTCGTGTCGCGCGATCAACAGGTTGTGCGCTCTCGTGACGTGCGCTCTAGTGTCAAGCGCGGTATACTGTCGCAGCGCCCTCGTGTCGCGCGCTCTAACGTCGGCGCTCTAGTGTCGCGCACTCTAAAGGCGCTCTCCCATGATTTACAGCGTTCTTCCTCTGATCTGTGAATTGTTCAATCTTCGTGATTGCCAAAATGGCTGAATACCGAGAAGATACCTCCATAGGTAGGAATTTGCGAGCTTTGGCTGCAGGCAATGGGGCGTTCGGCTCGTATCGAGTTTGTCGTTCCCGTTATTTCGCCTCGAAAGGCAAGTAGCTCTCACGTTTTACAGTGCACCTGGCCTGCCAAAGCGAATACTTTTAGGTGGCGCATTAGTTGTGAGTTATAAAGCTCACACACCTTGCTCGCGGATGCCACGCGAAAAATATAACGGGAATCGAAAAGCTCGAAGGACGGCAAACTTATTTTGTTGATTTTACTAGTTATTTCGGTCGCGTTTTACCGCACATCAACAGCCCACAGGTGGCGCATTTTTCCTATAAATTTGCAAAGAGCGAACACAACTGAGAAAAAAACAAAAAAAGAAAAATACTTAACTCCTATGGAAACCCAGCGAAACCACCCCTCTTCAATCAATAGAGCGCCCTATTGCTTGAAGATCGGTGACTTCGCTGCGTTTCCATAGGAGTTCAGACTTTTCCTTTTTTTTTACTTTTTTCTTACGTAAGTTCGCTCTTTGCAAATTTCATAGAAAAAATGCACCAGCTGTAAGCAGCGCTGCAAAAAATTGTAGCGCGACAAGTTAAGAAGGCGAATTTTGCGGTCGATTTAAAGAGCCTGGCCGCTACTTGAGTCATCCGGTAGTTTGGAACGCGGCACCAGCGCAACATGAGCGAGCAATTGGGCCGGCAATCTTCTTCGGCGAACCAAATTAGCGGCTACTTGATATAAAAACAAACAAACAAAAAAAAAACTAGAGAAAATTAACGCACCTCCGTTCGGTCCTAACTCGTCGCTGCCAAGAGCTCCCACCCGTGCGTACCCTCCGTACACGTGTTACGCGAAAACGTTTTATATTGACTACTTCTCGCTGGAGTTGAAACATGTTGGCGCGAATGTGCAATAGCCCTTAAACACTTCCGTTTCTGAACTAGACTATGGGTCTTGTAGCGTTTTCAGGAAAAAATATACGCATTCTTTGAGGAATGGCCACTTATAGCCACTCTAAGACGTAATCCCTTCCTACATTGAACCAATGAAGAGCAAAGGATTTGTAAATATCCGCTAACCGCAAGTGTGCCAGGGCTACCACACAGATCGCGCCACTGAGTTTGCTGCTCAAAGAAAAAAAAAAGCGAATACGTTTTTGGTTATTTTTGGCCCATCCTTAAAACGGCTAATTGAAACTTTCTGCCACGGGCTAAACCAGCCAATCAAACCTGGATTCTCCGGGACTGACATCCGGTAAGCGGGCTGAACAGAAATCGCTACTCTGGGAATACTCAGTGACTCTAGGCGGGGCCGCTGACCTGTGGACCGGGCTAGACCTGGCTTAGAGCGTGCCGTGACATACACCTGAATTGCGTCTAACGACGTAAATATTACGAGATATTTTTTTTGTGGAAGGTTAATAAGAAAAACGTGTCTCATCTATGCCATTAAAAAAAAAAACATTTTCCATTTCTGTGTTTTTTAAGGTGTGTCAGCTTCGCGAAAAATTTCGAAGATTGAACTCGGCAGACTCAAAGCTAAAACCAAACTTGGAGAACGCTTAAGCTTCGGCTTGAAGAGTGGAACGCGATAGCGTTATCGGGCCCCGTTCGCCGTAGAATCCTGCCTCGCGTGGCCTAGTCAGTAGCGTGTCTGGCTCGCAGCCGAAGGTTCATTGGGTTCCAATCCCGCTTGAAATTTTTCAAATTTTCCTTTAATGCAAATGAATTAATTTTCAATGTGAAAACATTTGAGACATGCGGCGACCTTTATTTGCATTACATGCAATGTTTGAATCCCTTTCAGCGCGTGACGTCACGTTTCACGTGAGCGTTGGGGGTTGTTTGAAATTCCTGCGGGAGGTCATGTGCCATGACGTCATGACCCTATCGACCAATCAGGATCTTCCCGTCACGCCGTCGACGCCAGCTTTCTTGCGACACGAGCCTCTTACCACTCCCGCTTTAATAACTATAACAGATTTTCTCCACCTTCGGCGTCTGTCTGCTAAGCGCGCACCCTCTGACTGACGCCTCAGCCGACAGATGGCGAGAGCGAGGTTCCGGCGGGTGACGGCAGCTCAGCAGGCGGCGGTTCGTTACCACGCCCTTGGCGTCCGGGTAGCGTATCACCGACCGTTCACAGACGCGCTGCCCGGACGCCAAGGGTAACATCATTATAGATACAATTCCGAGAATTGTTGAGGCACTAACGTCTCAATCACAGCTGAATTCATTTTACATAAGATTGACTTTATATAGGGTTCAAAAGCCCCAACAAACCAAAAAAGGGAGAAGAAAATATTGAAATACTCTTTGCACAAATTCATAGAAGAGAAGGAGTTGACGAAGAAAACTACCAAAAGGATTTCGGTACTGTTCCGAAGCAAAGAGAAGTAACAAAATGAAGGGAGGAAAGATGAAAACATCTCTTCACCTGACAGTTTGGACAAGAACACAGCAATGAACCTAAGCTAAAGGGCCAACCTTGCCAGGAACAAAATAAGTAACAAAGGAAAGTGTAGTAAAATTTTAGTTTTCCACCTGGTTGTTTGGTCAACGACACACAAAAGGGAAGCAAAGTTTTAACTACACTTTCCTTTGTTATCTCTGTTTGATCCTCCAATTTTGACCTCTTAGCTTCATTGTTGTGTATTTGTCCAAACTGTCCTTCTAGGGGGTTACTGCACGAACCAATTCTCCGGTACGCATTTGTGCAAAGACCGTCTTTGTTTTTCCTTCTCGCTTTTCTCGGTTTGTTGGGGTTATTGAGTCCTATATAAATTCAAATTTATGTCAAAATAATTCAGTCGTGTTTGAGACTTTGTGTGTTGCATTCGTCCTGCGTTTTTTTCACAGTCTCTGGGTTTTGTCTTAAGTTATGTTCAGTCATCACCAGCTAGTATGCGGCACATCTTTCTGTTCGTTAAGGGAAATATATTGAAACACTGACATAGTTCAGTGCTAGTCGTAGTTTTCATTTTCTTGATAACTATTAATCTCCCGGTCAACCTCAAAGGGACTTTGAACTATACGAACTTGATGCATTCCGAATATTCGTGTTTTCCCATCCACGACGGAGTAAGAAAAAGCAGCATTTAAAGTCCTAAGCTCCACACGGATAAGGTAGATATCTAGCTGGCTCGAGTAGAAAGCCGGTAGACTCACTCCGCATTTGTTTATTTCAATCTTGAATACGTCTGCGACCGCATCATCACGTACGCCTCATTTTCAGTAAAAAAAAAAAAAATAACAAGTAGCGCCGAAATAAAGACTTAACAACTTGGAGATTTGCATGTTTCTCGCGCTACTACCGGCGGGATATTTTCCCCTACTGGTAGGCCAGACTGTCTGTCTGCGAGCGCGGGCAACTCGACATCGGTAAATGGTGTTTTAAGTATACGATAGCATTACTTTAATGTAGAAGTTTCTTCTTGAGTGCTATTCGGTCATAGAAAAACCATATTAATAATCAAATAAACGAAATTCAGTTAAACATCCCGCAAGGATGCTTTTCGATGGTGCCTTTCTCATACTCAAATTTCCTGAGCGTAGGTCTTTGGAAAACAAAAGCTAGAAAACAAAAACTTGCTATTTTCTATTTATGGCAGTACAACAGGAGCGCACCGTCTGGTTGACAATGGTACTGGCTGTTTCCACATCAGTTGACTCAATAATGGTCGGGGCCATATTTTTTATAGTTACGTAAAACAAAAATGTGACAGCAAAGGCCACATTATCGGGAGGAGCATTCAGCCTGATGTGAACGCCGTAGCTAATTTTCTCAAAAACAGGGATTCCAACCAAGGTGACTGCAGCGGGAAAATAACTGCCAGGCTCCTGTGACAGGAGTGTAACACTCACTTGACTTGGACGTGAAGTGCCAGGGAAACATGTACTTCTTCTCTATCCTGAGCATGCTTCGGTACACAAACCACGTGTCGTGAGCAAACAGGATGTCGTCGTTGTCGGACACCACTTTGATGAGTGCTGAGCAAGCGGGTGTCTGGTCGATGCTGTTCTCGTCATGTACCCTCCTGAGAACTCCTTCCAAGTCAATCAGGTCTCCTTCCACGTTGAAGAACCTGAAATTGACCGAGTTTGTGTCATGCGTTCCGCCTTAAAAAAAAGATGAGTTATGCGACTTGTAGTCGATCCCTGCCGCACCCACATATAATCGCCACACACCCTATTTACTTGTCGGCACAATGTACCAAAAACCAGATTTCGATTTTTAAGAGAAAATGTTGCATTTGTGAATTTATGAATCCTAGTCATTTGAAAGAAATTCGCGACGTTTGCGCTTTGGTCAAGTAGATAACTAAAACGACTTGTGTCCAACATCTTCGCTCATGTTCGATTGAAACCGCCCTTAAAAAACTAGGTTCCTTCCTTAAAGACATACTCGAGCCCTGAACTAGTGCAATTAATGACCATAACGATTATCCTTTTTCGGCCTGGTCATAAAGAGCAAGGGTCTCTAAACATACTTTTCTGAAAACTTCATTGTTACTTTACGACATCCCCAACTTCTTCGAAATGCTTAAAGCGTCAGAAGGAACATTATAGTGAGCATACACCCTCACTGAAGGTGTACTCAACGCATGATGAGAAGTAGTCTGCATAAAGACGTCGCGCATTGCGCGGGACGATTTTATAAGGATAATATATCGTAATGTCTGGCGGAAACATTTTAATGTAATTCAGTTAACTGAACCCCCCTGTCAATTATTTCAAGCTGAGTGCTGCATCACAAAAAGCGTACTGATGAAAGCCATTTTTAGTTACCCTGAGTGCAATTTAACCAAATAGTTCGGTGTAGAAGCACTTAAAGTATTTCTGAATATTATTATATACCAGGTACAATAAATTGCATCCCACGAAGCGTTATACACCTTTCTGCCCAGAATATTGCTTCCGACATCACCTAGATTAGACGAGGTGTGTGGGGCATTTGCCTTATCATGACACAACGACTGAAGGAAAAGCACAGAGAAGCTAATACTTCATCAGCGCTCAGTTTGATTCGGGGTCAATCCACGCTTTCAGGGTGTAAATTAATTGACTATAGTAAAAAGTGGTCATATTTTTATATAAAAAAAGAATCTTAGCGTCCCTTGAACTGAAGAAAGATAAATAATTCATAGATTTAGGGTAAATGTGTAACTACGAAATATTGAGTATTCTAAATTGTCGAACATACGATGTAGCCCCGTATACGCCCAGTTGTGCGATTACTGTTCAAAATTAGTATGCAAACAGTAGTGTTTCCAACTTACAGTGCTCTGGTGACGTTCAAGTACTCGTTCGATACGTTCAGGGTCTTGTTCTCGAAGTGATCACTCAAGCCAGCCAGCTGCTTCATCTGCAAATGTACCTGTCGGGTAGAAAGAGAACGAAAACTGTAAATCAAGCACTATCATAGTCGTCGATGAAATCGAAAACCTGGGGTAGGAGTGAATAAAGCCGCACCAAAAAAAATATTGCGAATAAACGCATGCGATCCGAAATTGACGTTTACTAATTCCTAACGGCTTTTCTACAAAGGAAAAAAAACACCAATATACAGACGAAGACAAATAGGAAAAACATGATTAAGCTATTGGCCTGTTGTGTGCTTTATTTTTGTTTTTAACCTTGGTCAGATTGTTTGCGTAGGTTTTGGCGTTCTAAATGTACCAAATAAGACAAGACCTCGTGTAAGCCTTGGAATAGGTGTCAACGTTTTGTCCAGTCTCTTTAAGCCTAAAGAAGTCATACATGTTTTTGCAAAATGTCGGCTACGATTCCTTAGCTTTAGGAGGCTCTTCACTTTGCTTCCAGTCTCAACGCCCTTCGTGCTTGGCGGTAAATCATAGGTTCAGTTTAAACAATATAACGTAGGGGTGAGGGTTACTGTATCTGAAATTATAATACAATTTTATTAATTTTAGGCGCTTGACTGTTGCCATTTCGGTTAACTAATACTGGGAGTTTAAGAAACCAGCTTATTTTGAATTATGGTGAAACAATAAAAAAAACTGGAAAATATCTTTAGGAACAAAACGATTAGCTGCCGAGCACAGTAGCACTAACATAAAGCACAGATACTCTGATATCGACTTTGAAGCTCTAGTTAACACACGATATGGAAAGATTTGTTTTAGATCTAAAACACGAAAAGTGGAAGTCCTGTATAATTCCAGGCTCGCATTTCAGAACCCTTCACTCAAGTTGATCCCATAACGCAGTGGTTCTCAACCATCGACGTTTCGCGGACCCCTTGTGGATCGGTGGAGATGATGGAGGATCCCGTTCGTGGTGAGGGGAAGGGAAACGTATGCGTTAAATATAATTATTACTGAATAAACGGATATAACTAAGGGCAAGCTTGAACTAGACCTCTCTTATTGATATGCACACGAGAAAACTCGCCCGAAAACTAAAACATTTCTTCTCGACCTGAGAAAAGACAACTTTTGTTGCCGGGCTTGACTAATAAGGCAGGGCTTCGCGGACCCCCATATGAGAACCGCTGCCATAACGCATATCGCACGGTAGGTTTTTAATCCTGTGTTCATTTGATAGACAAGTCGAAGAACGACCACTTGGGGTGCGTGGAGAGGAAGCTTGTGCTGTAGAAACCAAATATTATTATGCACAGGCCGCATCCCCCAGTGCGTGTTTCAATATACATAATGATCTCCCCTCCCGCGGGGTCTTATACTGCGTAAAACACGCTGAAGATGAAACTGAAAAAAAAAAAAAGAAACACCGGCAAGCTTTTGGACTAGCTGAAGCCCGAGATCTGTAAAAATGGAAAACAGACAACTGCACACAATACAATTAAAAAAACATTATTGGCTAGAAGACGAGATACGACAAGTTAATCGCTGCTTTAACGAAGCTCGCCACTTATTGGTTTATTTACTTCACAATATTGTAACCTCCTTGGGGTCACTACAGGAGAAGTAATCTCGGCAGGGGTTGCGTATGATCTACACAAATGTGCTGCATATTCGTTGATTGCAGCTGTTTATCTAAAGATAAACAGCTGCAATTTAACAACAACACACGTTGCATGACATATTCACTCAAATATGACAAAAAGTACAAACATTTGAATTTAACACCCACTACTTCTACGTTTGCTCTAATGTACTTTAAAGCCACAGTTCTTAAAAATCTCGTAGACGTTTCACGCTATGCAGGGAAATGAAAGTAACTAATAAATGTGTTCTAGGTGATCAGTAAATTTACAAAAAAATCGGATTTAGAAGTTCCTGGGAAGGAAGTCCCATTCACTTATTGTTTTTGGGAGGAGTGAATATTTAAACATGTGAGTTCTACTCTGGACAGGTTTCATCATTTTGAAGTGACCATTTCTTAATGCACGAATTATTCAATGCTTCAGGTACTTTGTATATTCAATGTTAAATCGACCATGATACAACATGAAAATGTGCTTAATTTGAGCATTCCTATGCCTATAAGCAATAAGTGCAAGGTCAAGTTGTTTTAACATATCACTAACAGGGTCATTTTGTTTATACCTACAAAGTATATAGCGAGATGCAAGTACTTGAACCTTTTTTAGCTTCTCTGTGTGTTTCTTCATATGGGTCCCCATATCATGTTTTCATATTACATGGTGGTTACATATTTTAAATTTATGTTCGGATATCCTAGTGTACGTTTTCAAGAACAGCAGATGTTGTCGACATGCTTTCACATTTCAGATTATTTTCAGTTTTAACGTCTAGGTTTTTCTAACTATAAACTTCTTCCAGATGGGATCCAATCACTGTGTATACCAGAAGTAACTTATTTTCTTTATTTCAAAGCTGCAGTAGTACGTCTTTCTTTCAGTATTATTTGCCATTCCCCATTTTGGCAGAACGACGTGATCTTGTGATGTACGTCTTCTAGGTTAACTTGATCCTCCGAAGTTTTTTTAAATTTGTGTAGATCATGCGTAAATAACTGCAATGGGATGGAACTGTCCATTTTTGGTGCAATACAATTTATGTATAATCAAAATAAAACAAGGCAAAAAATGGAGCCCTGCGGCACGCACGATGATATTCGTAAAATATTCATCATCATCATTTATTAAACCTTAAAGGCCCTTACGGTCATTACACAAGGTGAGGGGTACTAACTGAAAAAAATATTATATAAAGGAACGAACAAAAAGTGGGTTCCATGCTGGAGAACATTGTTAAAGTAACAAAAACAGGGGAAAAATACACTCAAAACATCTTTAGGAAAAACAGCTGATTAAACAGAAAAATACACAAATAAAAACATTTCTATAAACACGGAATGACTTTTCTCTTAGTGCAACTGCTATTAGAGACGTTGCTCTTTATTTCTTCAAATTGTGTTCTGTTTGCCTTATAAGCTGTGATCCAATTAACCACTTCTAAACTGACCTCAATCATCTTAATTTTATTAATAAGATCATTGTGTGCAACTCGGTCAACTTAATTCACTTTGCTGAGTAACTATGGAAAGAATGCGTCGAGCCATATTCGTTGATGTAAAGAAACTTATTTATTTTTAAATAGACGTGTAATAATTTTGATACAATATGCTCCTTTATTTTACAAGTTGTTTTTAAGGAAATCTATCTATAATTGGTGGGGGATTTTTTTATTGCCAGCTTTGAAGATAGATCGGACCTTTCGGCAGCGAAATTCGGAAGGAACCGAGCTTTGCAATAAAGAAGACAAAAATATTAGCGTTAGATATTTCGAACTTCACTCAGTTTATCGTCTTAAAATTGTGTTCTGTATTTTATCAGATTTCTGAACTTTGATTTGTAAGACAAGAAAAAAAATACTTCTTATAAAATAAAAAAAATGTCTGAAATGTTGCGTCATGAAGCCGTAAAATAAAAGCATCAAAAGGACGGCTTTTATTTTTTTAACTGCCCATAACTATGGAATTCAAGATCAGCCCTCTTTTTTTTTCCTATATTCATACAAAGATATAGGTATCACTGCAACTCGGTGTCGAACCTTATACTTTTCCCATTGTATGTGCTCTGGATTCCTCCGGTGGGCTATGTGTCATGTTGAGTTAAGTTTCAATTTCACTTTCTTTTCTTTTTCGTGTTGTTCCTTCTATGATAGCCATCTGTGGCATCGCCCTCCAAAGTGCGACGCTGGCTAATGGCACGCGCCAAGAGCTCGCGCACTACTGCGCGCGCTCTGCTTTTTTCTTACTTGCTCCTTCTCTTTTCCTGCTTCGAAACTTAAACAGTTTGCAATGTACCGCTGCCTAGGCGGCCTCCACAGTTTTTATGACAGATTTTACCTTTTAAATTTCTAAACGGTGCTGGCCATCTGTAATTCTATGTATTTATGCGGAGAGGAAGTCATCTGCTTATTTCGCAGGAGTTGCGGTGATGTCAAAACAAAGCCGAGCTCTGATTGGCTTTGATTGACTGAATAGTGGGTAGACCTAAATGCTAGGCGCATTAAGGTCTACCCACTGTTTTTTTTTTTTTTCATAAGCCAATAAGAGCTCGGCGTTCTGACACCGTCACAATCCGTGTGCAAGAAGCAGACGAACTTGAGTTTTGCACTGTCAAGATGTTCTTAGGACCAATACGCTATTGCTTATGCGGGCAGAAACAGAAGGAGAGGAGGAGACGAGAGCTCGTTGGGACGTCAGATGGCCGATCTATGATTGGAATGATAAGTAGGCAGATGCAAAGCAAGCTTCAAAGCTAATCTGAGCTCGACGTCGTTCCGACGTCGCCGCAACTCCGGCAGAAGAAGCAGACGACTCGCTCCCCGCGTAGTCTTAGATACGCAGGAATGAAGCAACTCACCGCTGTCTCGAAGCTCTCAATGGCAGTCTACACACTTGTCTCGTGCGAAACAACAGAAATGCTTACTCGAAATAGAGGACCTCTCCGAAGCCAAAGACTTACCATATGCCAATAAGGATCCGTAGATTCATAAAGGTGCTCCTGGCTATTGGAGTACTTGAGGTTTTCCAGGAGGAATTTCGAGAGCCTCTCGCAGTACTCAGGCTGATTATTGCAGTAGCGGCTATACATGTTCTTATACTGTTTTTCCATGAGGTCGTGCGTAAGGTAGGCCTCCACCGCGCCGGCGGCGTACGCCTGAGCGTCGTCTGCATACGAACCGTTGGACTGCAGCTCCAGGAATGTCCAGCTTTCAAAGAACGAATACCAGGAGATATGTTACTTATCAGACCAACATTTCAAAGAAAGTCAGTAAAAAATTACAACTATTATGTTGTCGTTAACACGCAACTTGCCTGCTTGCAAACTAACACGAATCTATATTCAGTATCCTTGGTAAAAAGCAATACACTAAAATAATAAGTTATTTTATGAAATATATGTTCAGTAGGGCAGCCCACTGGAAGTATACGTTTAGTATGCACTTATCGTGCTGGGCTTACTTGAATTGTGCTGGGACTAGTAATAATGCACTAAATAAAAACTGCAAAAAGGACATGCAGCATACTTTTGAAAGCATGCGACATGTTAATTTGAAATGCTCTTTAACAATTTGACTTTAGCTAAATTTAACTTGTACGTAATATATACAGTAGCAGTAGTTGTAGGTTGTTTTTCCGGACCTCGATGAGCAAATTGGCGTGTCTACCGCAGGGGGCAGGGAGACCGTAAAATGTTGCTGATTGCTGGAGTGCGCTGGTCTTCGGTGGCGAGGACTGGGAGGAAAAACTGCCAAAAGTGCTTGTGTTCAATAAAAAAACTCACAAAAAAAACTTCACTGACACGTTCGATGAATAAAATCAAACAGAGAGCCACTTGCGCGAACATTCACCGATTCGAAGCTCCGGGATGCCTCAAATGCAGCGCTTCGTGCAGAAGCTCTTGTTTCCGTCCGTCTGCAGTGTGGTTTCTGCTATAGTCGGTTACAAGTCAAGAAGGTAGGGGAAGCTCCTCCCATAAGCGTTGTGCGCCCGTTTCAAATCCATCCTCAGTCGAAAGAATAGTTCCTTGAAAACGCGCCTTGTTCCGATTCAATGAATACATAATGGCTACAGAGTGATGCCAACTTGTCTCCGACCCCCACTTTTTAAGAAAGCGACCTTTGCATTCATCGAAGAGGGAATCGAGCCCCTGAAAGTGGCCTTTGTATCTATGGGAGCGGGAACCTAACCGCCCAAAGTCGTTTTTGTTTCCATCGGAGGGGGAAAATTCTAACCTCCCTCTTGTGGCTTTTGCAATTCTAAGTCAAAGTCGAAAGATAAAGTGGAAATTCGCAGGAAGGCAAAACCCTCTCCCGCGTTGGCCACAATGTGACGGAAACGATGAGACGCTATTCGATGCGGAGGTGGCGGAGAGATATATAAATCCCTTTGAGGCGCATTTGCCGCTACTTTCTTGACCTGTAACTTACTATAGTTAAAGTGAACTAGAGGAGGGGTAGTGAGATGAGGCGCCGCGGCGCGTCATGCATTGCTGTTAAACGGCGCATGTGGAAAGGTCCCGGATGTACGCGGTGGCGCTGCGGACGTTGTGGCTGTAGGATCCGACCGCCTGCGAGCGTTCCGGAGGCCCTGAGCGCGCAGCTTCGGCTTGCGTTTGGTCGATTTTGCAGCATTTGCAGCTCGAAGTTTGCCCCCATTTTGAACCGCTCTTCGCCCCATGTTACCCGTGTCTGCTGTCGTTTATGTCCAATGAAGTACCATGCCGAATCGACGTCGACAACGCCACTGCTTCGCTCCGGGGTGCCAGACAGGCTATCAATGGCGGAAAGGTGAGCAGCCGTCGCTGTTCTCAGTACCCAAGGAGGAAGAACAAAGAAAACTTTGGGAACGGAACTTGCATCGCAAGGATAAGCTCCTCGACGAAACGTGTTCGGTGTGTGAGCTTCATTTTGAGCCATCGTTTATAACGCGAGACTTCGTTCACGTTGTAAACGGAGAAGAGGTGCGCATTCCGCGCGGAAAGCCGCAGCTCTTGCCTGGCGCTGTGCCGACGTTGCTGTCGAATGCTCCAAGCTACCTGTCAAAGAAAGCGTCGCAGCCGAGGCCCCCGAGAAAGCGAAAGAACGCCGATGCTTCCTCAGTTGACGGTAAAAAAAAGCAAAACACTGCCTCTCCAACTGCCTGCAGCAGCACTGGCAGCACCACACCGGTTGCAGCCGATACTGGGGCGTTTGATGAAGCTGATGAAGCCTGTATGCCCGAAGAATACTCCAAGCTGTGTGTCCCCTCCGAGTACTGGAGCTGTCACCAAGTTCCGAGCCTCAGTGGTCTCGTGTATTGTAAACTTAAAATGTGTGACAATGAAGTTTTATCCGAGAGAGTAGTGATTTTTTCACGAGACAGCAGGCCTGGAGTTGTATACACTGTTCATCTTTGTGGCCGTATGGCTGAAAGAGGACGCGTCGTCAGCTGCGAGGAAGCGGAGGTTCTTCTCCGAGACGTCGACTCGTATCGTCTCTGTGGAGGTGCCGTGCCGACGAGCGACGTGCCAAGATCCTACCTTACAAAGGGCCTTGAGGGGCAAGTGGTCACCCGTGAGGGCACATACTTCAGCAACCGCTGCACAGGAAAAGAACCAACTGAAGGTGTGTATCAGTGCCACTTGGGAAGAATTAAGAATGTCATGCCAACATCGTCTTTGTCGAATCGAACATAGTAAATTGCGATGTCTGATGCATTGTTATTTAAGCTGAAAGATGTTTTTGGTTTCAATTTTAAATGTTTTCTTTTTTTCTTCACAGGACAAGCATGCATCTCCTGCCGATACCTGAGAAAGGCGCTTCTAACACGGCGGTCAAGGGTTCAGCGATCAGTCAAGAAGCACGTCCAAAGCATCACTCAGAAGCTCCGTGCGGCTGCGCAAAAGAACCGAAGACTGTTGTCTCGCAATGCTAACCTCCAAGCCCAGCTCAAGCAAATGCAAGATGATAATGCCTCAAAACCTGACGAAGTACTACAGGCAGAGATTGCAACCTTGCCTCCCAAGCAGCAAGAATGCGTTAGGCAGTGTTTTTCAGCAGCAAAGAAGAGAAGCTCGAAGGGAAACACTCTACCAAGCAAAAGTATTTTGAAGCGCTACCTCAGAATCTACAAGAGCGGGTATGGTTTCAATCACAAGGTGCTGAAACAACTAAAGCAGAAAACGAGGCACATCAGTAGCTTTAAAAGACGTGGTGGCCTTTTAGTGGATGAGGTCAAACTTTCTGAGCACCTCACTGTAACACCTTCTGGACACATTGAAGGCTTTGTCGACATGGGACCTACTATGACTGAGGGGCAGAATGTTGTCTGTGACCATGACATGATCATCATGTTCGTCCCATTCACTGGTGAATGGACTCAAATTATAGGTGCGTTTGCCACCAATGGAAATGCCAAGGCAGAGGAGCTTGCAAAAGTTCTAATAGAGGCTACAATCCTGGCTGAAGCAAGCGGACTCATTGTTGATTTCCTCACTTCAGACGGTGCTTCATGGAACCGTCGAATGTGGAAAATCTTGGGGATCGGCGTTAAGTAAGGAAAAGTTACCTGCAAGCTTGAGCACCCTGTTGATTCATCTCGGCATCTCCATTTCCTGTCAGATTTTCCTCATTTACTCAAGTGCCTCAGGAATACGCTCCTCAAGTATCCATTGAACACCCCAGATGGAATGGTAGGTGTTATTACTTCGTAACAAAACAAGCACTTTGCAATTTTGCTCTTTCTGATCTCGCGTTTCTTGCTATGCCGATGCAGAGTCATTTCATAAAAGCTATAATCAAAAGCATTTATATACTCGTGCTTTAACACGCATGTCTTTATGTGAAAAAGGCAATATGGATGCAATATGTTACGGCTACTGTTTCAGGTCTCCATGCGGCCTGTAAGGGAAGCATTCAAGAAAGACTCAAGCAATGTCACCCTGAACGCGATGCCCGGTCTTACATCTGTCCACCTTCAACCAAATGGATTTGAAAAAATGAGGGTGTCCTTCGCCTTCCAACTCTTGGAGACCGTGTCATCAATGGACTCCAGTTCTTCCAGGATGAGCTAGAGTCCTCGTGCAGCAGCTTCGATGCAACATTGTCCTTCTTTAGGTAAGCAGAAACCTGCTAATCAATTAGTTTGCTGCCCTTTGACCTAATGAACCCGTCGGAGAAATAATGAAAACACGTGCTAAGTACCTTTGAAGGACTACGTGAGAGAAAATTTGTATTTGTTAAGTCTGTAGCCTCTGTCTACATTCCGCTATAATATTTTTAATTTTTAGTGAGCAGAGCATGAAAATTTAATTTGTCTATCGCAGCAGTTTTGACTTGTATTGACAATGGGAAGTGCTAGCAAACTGTATGAGTCTATTTGTATTCTTTCAGAATCATCAACCGCCTGATCAAGATCATGACTTCCCGCTTCACAGCAAAAGCTCTGCGTCCAGGGTCCAAAGAAGTGGAGTTCGTGAAGGAATTTCTTGATTTTTTGTCTTCTTGGGAGACCCATGCAAAAGGAGTGGGGGGATTTTTGAGCGACTCCACAGCAGATGGCCTTAGGGTCACAGTATCCAGCACTTTAGCTTTCTTAGATTACCTCACAGCACACGGTTTCAGTTACCTCATGACATCTCGGTTAAGTCAGGATACCCTTGAAAATTTATTTGGGATTGTCAGACAATCTAGTGGCTCCAACGACCATCCAACGCCAACGCAATTCTTAATTATTGTCAACTGCCTGTCTTTTTATAATTTGGCAAAAGTAGCAAGCTCGGGCAACGCCGAAGTGAATGAGTCAGTTCTTTGCTCAATGCATCTGATGGCTCAACTGCAGAAGCCAAAGTTGCCGAAATCGACAAACAGATTGAGGCGGGGAACTTGGGGTCCGCAGAGTGTATGCTCCGTAGCGTCCCTAGCGAACACTAAGGATACGTAGAGCAAAAAAGCGATTCCCGGTTAATACATTACATGGCAGGGTATGTAGCTCGCAGGTTCCTTGCCCGCAGCAATTGTTCAGAGTGCCGCAGCCTTTTTTTGGGGAGCTCTTCCGACAAGGAAAACTGCGGGTTTGCGAAAATTTGCGACAAAGGTGGGCTTTTGTATCGTTCCCACGCTCTCTTCCTCGCCGTGAAGAAACTGGAGGATATTTTTACTTTCTTTTTCAGTAAAACGAAGCTGTGCAGCAACAGCATTGTCAATATTATGTTGCTGGTGGAATCCCG